TGGACCCAAAGCCTCGGCCGCCACCAACGGGCACAAGGATCGTTATTGTTTCTGAGATCGCCGATCCGAAAGATAGCCATCGACACCGACGACCCCCTTTTTTTTCCACTTCTTCCACCCCCTCTCAAGTCACTGTACCCCGAGTTGGTCCACTTTTATCTCTCGTCAGGCGTGCCTCCTTTTTCTTTTTTTTTTTTTTTTTCTTTCTTTGATCCTCGTCGAACGCGTAGAGACACGATTCTTTCATCTCCATCATGGGGGGCTTTTTCTATATTTTGTTTCTTTTTTGTTTTTTTTTTTTTTTTTTTTTTTTTGTTTCTTTTGATTTTTCTGATAGGTAGTTTGCCACCATCGATTCTCTCTCGAGCTCTCTTTTATCGGGATAAAATGTTAAAATTTATCTGATGATCGAAGTGATTGGTCGATGAGATAAAGAGGGAGGGATAAGAGGAGATGTAGAGATTGGAGATTTTCACAGATTTTCAGGTGATACAATGAATTGTGAAATTTATCATTGATGAAGAAATGAAGGTATTTTTTTTTAATTAACAATTGATTAGATTAGATTTTTAACTGTAGGTGCGGATTTTGGATTTTTTCATTGCTATTATTAATTAGTTCCATATTTAATTGGTTTCTATTTTATTGTATGTATATTTTTGCTTTATTGACATTTATGATTTATAAAATATAGACCAGTAGCGATGCAATTAGAATTAATTTGTTTTTACGAATTTTTTTAGTTTATTTAATTTTCTCGGTGCTCGTAAAACATTTATTAGATCTAATTGAATTCCAGTATTGAGTGTAATATTGTTTGTGTTGTGCAATTGACAAAAAAAAGTGCACTTATTTTACAAATGATTATACAGTTTCAAGAAATATTCTTGGAAAAATTTCAAATTCTCAAATCTCGAAACATAAATAAACGTAATTATAGATATATATAATTTACAAGAATATTTTAAATTATTTGAGATTGAAATATGAATAATAACTATGAAAAACGAAGGATAAACATATAGAAAATTCCTTATTAATATTTCTCTATTAATTCAAAGTCTACTGCAGTTAACATTCAATGTTTGTTTATAATTCCAAGATAAAAATCTTTTACAATTTTTAAATTTTACGTAATATTTGTTTTGAAAAATTTTTCGATAAAATTCAATGCATTTTCAATGTTAAAACTTTATCTACAATAAACTTATCTAAAAATTTATAAATTTCACAAACGTATCAACTTATGTTCCAAACCTAAATATAATCTTCTAAATATCAACGATTTCTTCATTTTCTTCACTGTTAACCAAAACAACTGCACCCAACAATAGAAAATGCTAATAAAAGGAATTTGTCCAGAAACGAATTCAAGACGCGTATACAATTTCGAAACTATTCATGTTGTCAACTTTTTCGAGCAAATCTATTCAGTTTCTCGCACGTAAAAATAAAAAAAAGAAAAAGGAAATAGACAAAAAGACTTCGCGATCTACCTAACCGTATTATCGAAGAATTCAAGCGTAGTAAATACTTGCGCATAACGGTGCACAACATGATGTATAATAACGCTGAATCTCAGCGGCGCAAAATGTATATTTTACTTTGAAAATGATCGCGCGAAATTGTAGTGCAGTAGGGTGCATTTGCAAATCGCAAATGCCAGGCAAAATGCAACCTACGATGCGCCGGCAGCGAACTCGTGTTGTCTCCACATATGTTTTTTTCTTCTATTTCTAAAAGAGATTTAATAGTTTAAAAAAATAACACCTATTTAAAGACGAAAGCAGGAAGATTAATATTAATTATTAATTATTTTATATACTTTTGCTTTGAATTTTTCTAATTAATAAGCAAGAAAATTTGAACAATGTTATTAAGTAGGAAAGTAAAAAAAGCATCCTTTGGTTTTTTAAAAATTTATTTTTGGCCAAATATATTTTTGATCCAGCTAAATAAACGCTAATCCAAAAAATGAGTTTTAAAAAACTTATTTTTTAACATGGATATTTCGTTTGAACAGGAAGGTTTCACGGATCCTCCAAGTGTCAGTTCTATCAGCAGATTACTTCGCGGTGGACGACCTGGTGACGATGGAAAAAAAGATTACACCATCGATGGAATATTAGGCGGGGGTGAGTACAGAATGACAAATTTTACATATTAATATATCACAATTATTTGGCAATTAATATTTTTATTAAGACAACGAGAAAACTTTTTGTTAATGTTTCTTCACAAATTGAAGATTTATTGTCTAATATTTTTTCAAATTTCTGTTATTAAAACTATCGATTAGTTATTCTGATATATGATTTAATTTAGTCCTATAATAATACAAAAAATTATCCGAAAGATGATTTAAATTTGGCGCGCATTTCATCCTCCAATCGAATCTTCATCGTCCAGTTGAATAAAAATCTAACATGGCCTCAAAAATTCATAATTTCACATATGAACAACTTCCAAACCATTGAACAATTAGTCTCACCACTTTTTATTCTACACTTCAACAATCTGTATAAAAAAGAAACATAATTATCAAAAATTTTAACATACTTTTCTAAAAATTTTCAAATTAACTTTTAGAAAAACATCTTATTATAATAATAAACGAAAAATTTCTCATTCAAACAAAAACGTACCAAAAAAATTCCACAGCGTCCCAAAACACATAACTGAGAAACCCAAACGTCACCGTTTTCTTCTTCATCTCTTCGACGATGTCGCACGACGTCTTCGCGTCATCGCGAGGCGTTAATTATTCATTCCCACGGGGGTGAAAAAAATATGAGTGAATAGAAACGAAGGCCAAGAAGCGATCACGAGTGCGGCAAAAGAAAAAGAAAGGCGATATCGCGAGCGAAAGACGAAAAAAAAAAAAAAAAAAA